TTATGGCCCACCCACTTCCATAGAAGGATTTGCAAAAGTAAAATTTGGAATAAGGATCCAAGAATATTATATCTGGGATTAGTAGATTCAAGTTCTGAGAGTAATTTAGTAAAAAGTAAAAATAAATAGCTTTGTTAAAGACTATCCCCTTCAAACGTTTAAAAAATAAAGAAAGCATTCTTAGCATTTTTTTAAAAAACATCACTATTCTATATTATTTTCTAAATGAAACAAAGTCTAATTTCCTTAAATTATCCTGGAGACAGAAAGTTGAGAAGGCAAAGTAAAAATCCATCATCAAAAATGAAGTTCTAGAAACCATCAGAATTGTATATATTATTTTAATATGAACTATCGATTTCAATTAATTTCTAGAACAAATCAAAGCCCTCGGTCAACATTGTAAGCGCTGATTGGTACCTGGGATCCAAGCCAAGAGTTTCCCATAGTATGTTCCATTACCAATTTTCAGAACTCCAGGATTGGAATCCAGGTGTCCATTATTTCAGGACTATCTGGAACTCAAATTTTTTTAAAAGATTTATTTATTTATTCATGATAGACATGGGGTGGGGGGCGGCAGAGACACAGGAGGAGGGAGAAGCAGGCTCCATGGCGGAAGCCCGACATGGGACTCGATCCCGGGACTCCAGGATCACGCCCCTGGCCAAAGGCAGGCACTAAACCACTAAGCCACCCAGGGATCCCCTGGAACTCAAATTTTTAATATCTTCTGAAAAAGAAAAAATATCTACAGAGCTTCTAGTTCTAATAGCTGTCAAACTGTTTCAGGCCCTGTTCAAAATATGCACTTTTCAGTAAACTAAACAGCTAGAAACTAGGAATGAAAATGTACAAAAGTGCCACAAACAACAGGTGAAGAACCTGTTGCATAAAATGCCAGTATTTGGTCTGAATGATTAGTAAAGATCCCAGCTCTCCATACTCTGATGGATGCCTCCGCCTGTCAGGCAGTGTGGAGCCTGAATGTTTTTCAGGATTGCAGTTTAAAGAAAATTTCCTTCAAAATTCAGTTTGGTTGGGACTTACCACAGGCTTTGGCTTGGAACTTTCCAGTAATGCCCAACATAATTCGACCTGAGACACACTGACCGGCCACTACCACCACTAACTCTGGGGAGAACTGTCTGGAAGCGGGCAAAGGATTCCTGGCCTGACCACCCAGAAGAGTGAGAGGAGAATAGCAGAATGAAAGGATGCAAGTTGAGATGGGCAGAGGTATGGAGCAGTCAGGGAGTGCTGAGCCCCCGAAAACTGGCACGGGCAAGCAGCCACATGTGTCTTCTCCATAGCAGACTACGCTATCACCTATGCAGCAATCTTGCCCAAGAATTAAACGGGTATGGGACCAAGCCTCTAGAGTTAGCTACACTTCACAAGAAACTGAGACAAAAGAACAAAAGAACATGTTCAACAACACCACGGGGATGCAGTTACTGAAGCATAGGATACAGAAAACTCTAGAAGGCAACCTTGTCACTCCAACAAGTTGCATTAATTACAAAAAAAAATTTTTTTTTTTGAGAGGAAACCTACAGATTAAAGTGCATTGTGTTTGAACGAACAACTGATTTAGACAAACTGGATGAGAGCATGGAAACATGTCTTGTTTTTAATGGCATGAAGCTGCTAGATTTTGGAGCAACTTGTTACTCAGATACATCCCAGTACAGGAATCTGTGCTGAAACGTGGGACCGAAGTGTGAGACACAGCAAGAAGAGTTGTTCTCGGTTCAGACACACTCGGGTTCGAACTGCAGATCCACCGCTGGCTAAAATTGGAAAAGCGATTTAGCCTCTCTGCGAAAGGCTGGAGCTTTTCAATTTGTAAACTAGAGATAAAAATGACTAATGCCTAGGTTTGCTGTAAGAAATTCAAGAGAGAATACCCGTATAAGTACCGAGCACCTTGCCTTGCACAGAATAAACAGCAAGCTGGCTGGCAGCTATTATTTTGTATAATCATTATTAGCAGCAGTGCTCATTCTAAAATAGCCTCCCACCCACCACCTCCTCCCCTGCCCAGGAAAAAGAAGATATCCCAGAATAGGCTAAACGCCCATGTCCTCCTGGTGGAAGGCAGATGGAGGGTGGGTCTGCATCACGACTGGCTGCCCCTTCAGCAGGGTTTGCACTTAGCATCTGTTTCTACCGTTCTCTGTGTTGGGCTACACAATCCGCCAACTCTCCTGGCACAAGGGAAGTGTGCATGAGCTGGAGCACGGACGTGGGGAATACACACAGGAGTGAGGAGCCTGACGGGACTTCTGGTGGGAGTGTCCACATGGAATTTCAATGTGAGGGGTTTTTCCTCTCCTCAGTCCAACAGCACAAAAGGAGCCTGGTTCTGAACTGGCAGGCTTTCTTTCATCTGTCATTATGTTTTACACACAAGGAAATTTTCATGTCTGAAGATGGGAGGTGATGAGAAGCAGGAGGCTACACGTGGTTTTTGGCAGCCCAGCCACCTGCACTTAAATTCACTTCTGACAGTGCTCAGAATCTAAAGACCCGTAAGTACTAAACTGTCATCTGCCTATCCAGGAGAGATTTCACTTTGGCAGTATTTCAAAAGTAAAATCGCTCACTTTTTTATGCATATTTTCGCCACCACAATATTTCTCTAAGCCGTGTAAAAGGCTGGATCTCGAGAGACATATAAAAAGAGGTTTGTGGTACAGGGTTTTTGCTAAAAGGGAAATAGCCTTTGTTTCTAAACCTAGAAGTACAAAAAATCAGTCATTTGCTAAAATCTAGGATTAGGGCAAAACGGGTGATAGCTTTCTCCAAGAGTTTGAGGTTGATGATTACAAAAGGCAGTTGAATTTGATGATTTCTGAACTACTTTCCCTAACGGTCCTGTTACGACTTGGAAGACAGTCCTATTATGTAACAGTTGGCTCTCCTTGGCCATACTGCTGCTTCCAGTGCGGCCTGACAAAGGAGCTGGGGGAAGCATAGAGAGAGGCAGCACTGTGTCAGGGAGAGCGTGACAGTCAGAAGTGGATGCAAGTCCCACAGCGGCTCCCAGTCTGCCAAGTGACCCTGCAAGGGTCACTCACTGTCTCCGATCTCAGTTTCCACTGCATTTCAAGTGAAAGATGGGGCCGTGTGGTGGATGAGCAGGAGGCCTGAAGGGACTATAGCAGAGGCTCTGGGCTACCCACCCCCCAGCCCATTTCCCAGCTGGGACCCCTCAGATAACCACCTTTTGCCTTCCAGTCTTGCTCTCCTCATCTGTATAACCGAATAAGAAATAGCAGTAAATCAGAAAATGCACACAAAAGGTTCTCAGTCCATGGCCCATAATAAGCACTGGATAAATGAACTGCTACTGCTCATTGCTGCTATTACTATTATTATTACTATTTTTCCAAATAACCACAAAACAGTAGGTTGAGGAGTCAGCTCTGAGCAATAAAACTGCTTGCTGGCCCCTGAGATTATGGCTTCGTGTCCAAGGGGAAGTAGGCTTCCAGTAGCCACTACTCTTCCCAGAGCCCAGAAGAGGGGCTGGGGCTTTGGAGGCACTCACTGAATGTGTGTTAAGTTAATGAGCAAGTGGATAAATGAGCGATGAAGTTATATACAAGCAAATGTCTTCCAAGCTATTGCTGTACCCTGATCTGACCTTGCCTGGGAGCTCTGGAAAGGGCTGGCAGCCACCAGCTGGCAAACACTGTGAACACACACAGCAGGCTCACCCAGGTCTGTAGGCTCACCGGGGACATGACCCACTTGTTCTGTGAGTACGGGGCCTGCATTTACAGGGAGGGTGCAACTGCACTCAAGACTCTGACTCTAGATTTCAAACTCAAGGACTCAGCCCACTTGCTTGCTCCAGAAAAGGCTTTAGAGAGCAGACTTGTTGACAGTATTCAAGAGCAGAGTGAGAAACTGAGGCAGATTCAAGAGAGACTGGACACTGGTCAGCACTGCAGGCACAGATCTACATAGTACCTTCTGAATATCTGATTTAAATACCTCCCCATATATCCGTCATCTGCTTGGAGAACTATAAAACCAATGCTTCCAACACAGCCTAACCCAAAGACAACTCGTCATTTATCAGCATTCTCCCAAATTCAGTCATTCTGATGGCACTTCTGGAACTATCTTATCCTTGGCACCACCTGTACTGTTATTAAACTTAATCCTCATGTTTAAATCAATTCACTGAAAAAAAAAATTAAATGCAGTTATTTTTTTAAATGAAATTTAAACCACTACGTTAAATGAGAAACCAGTATTGCTTGCCCTCAATATGAGGGAACCATAAAAATAAACACTTGGAAACAAAATATTGTAATTAAAATGGAGCTAGCCACCACTGCTTGCTCCAGCTCCAGGTCTGAGGTCTGCTCTCTCTCTGTTAGGAAAGGACGTTGGCATGTGATGGCATAAACACTTGCCAGGCCCTAGCTAAGGCTTCCTCCTTCGGGCATTCTGAAAAACAAAAAAGAAGGAAAGAAAAGAGTAACCTTCTCACAATATGAGTCCATGTTTTGGAACCACGTTCACACACCGCATAAAATGGTTGCAGACGTAGAAACAGTAGAACCTTCTCCTGTCTGATTCTCGGCCTCCTTGAAGGACTGGATTAGTAAGGCTACTTGTTCCTGGATGCAATTAAAATGCTTTTCCTCGATTCTAAGATGCACGGCAAACACATCGGTGATCAGGACACATCCTACAATCAGCTGGCTTTTATTAGCTATTTTTACTAGTGTTTGAATAGTGTCTTTCCTTTTTTATTGGGGGAGCTGTTATTAGATTGATGACACATCTCATAATGAGGGTGACTCAAGAAGTCAAAAAAATACGGTACACCTTAACAGGGCCAATATAAATGAGCCTGCTGTTTGGACAACGGGACAACACAACAGCCTTGCATTGGTGTTTTCCCAATTGTGTTCATCTGATAAAGACATTACAATAGCAAGATATTATGATCTATAACCCTCCACTGGAACACTCACACATTCTTGGCCTTGAACGCTTGAGCAAAATGCTGCACACTACGGAGCAGAGCGAGGTCCAGGGTCATTGCTTCTACCTTGGCTTTGTGCTGGAATGAGAGAAAATAAAAAGAAATGATAAATAACAGCAAGTTTAGTTCATGGTATCAAGTTACAGTAAATGTGTTATGGAACATGTCGGAATTCCCCTGTTTAATATTAGACGCCCAGAGAGAATATAAATCATTGGAATGAATGGAAGAACAGGGCTTTTACTGCCAAGTTTGGGAGGATGTGAGGCTGGGAATCTGCTAAAACCACAGGCTGGGGGTTGTGCTGTTTCACTCAGTGCACAGGATCCAAAGGGTCTTCAGGCTCAAGCATCTCCTCTCAATCTGTGTCCTAAAATAAAAACTCTAAAAATAAGGGAATGCCAGGACAAAGCCTGGCTCGTGTAAAAATTCAGTAGATGATATTTTAATCTCAAAAGCTGCCATGCAGGTTCTGAAATGATTCCATTGAGCCTGCATCAAAAATTAAAGATGATTCATTTAGAGAAAGTACAAAGCAGGCAAAACTCATTTATTCCAATGGACCCCGAGTGACCTTGATCCCACAAAGGAGCTCTGGTTTCACAACCCAGGAAACCCTCCAGATAGGTGGGGCACATGTAGATGATGACAATAACTACAGTCTGTTCCAGGCTGACCGTGGCCTGGGTACTTCCATACACCAGCTTGTTTCCTCCCCATAACAACTGAATGGGTTATACTTCCCCTACTTTACATGTGGCCTCATTAAAGATCACAGAACTAAGAAGTGTCAAGGGTGAGGATTCACCCCAGTATGCCTGACACAAAAGCCCACATTCCCTTCTTGACAGAACCTAGAAGGCCAAGGGCATCAGGATTTGAAGCAATCATGTTCCACTGGAGAGCATCCTAGCATAATTCTGGAAAGATCAGGGTTACCATCCAACTTGTTCTGTGTTTATGGGGCACCCTCAGTTTTTAAGTCTGGCTGGGCTGTAGGGTATGTAATTAAATACGATCACTTCATAGACCCATCTCCTCCAAAGGACGGACAGCCAAGAATGCCAGGGCCACTGTCTGTTCAGGTGAGGAAAGTCCCAGCGAGCAAACGGCAAGCCTGGGAATTCTCATCTAGACTGTGATGCTACAGTGAGAATGCAGAGATGAACGTGGTACCTCTAATGCTATGAAGGAGATGCAAACAGCACTGCCATGCACATGCTCCATTCAACTGTCTTACTTGGGGGAGGGGTCCCACAAACTATGCTGAGATGCTTAGTCTTAGCATCCTGGGCTGTAACCCAAGTCCCAAGCCATGAACAATAAGCATCAGCCAGAGGCAGCAGGGAGGCCAACTGACCTTGGCCATTGCAGATTCTGAGCCTCATTTGTAAAAGGCGAATATTATCTGCTCACAGACTTGTGAGAATGGGTGTAAAGTACCTAACATCCAGCCTGGAAGAGAGAACTTCACTAGAAGGAGATAAGATGTCTACTGTATCCAATTCTTTCTGGTCTGCAGGGAACTGTAGTTTGGGTGGGCTACAGCACAGCACAATGGATGGAATGATGTTAATGAAGAGTGCGTCAGACCAGCTTGCTGTTAGATCCTGAAGGATCCAGGGTATGTCTCCTAAAGAGCTCAGTTTTAGGGAAAGGGATGTAAGGTGACTAAATGACTGCCCCAAGTTCCAATAGCATATGGATGTTGTGAAGGCAGGTTGGCCAGTGTAGATTGAAGGTCCTTGAGTAACAGTGGCAGGTGCACAAATGTGCCAATTTTGGAAGGAGGAGGAGAAGCATTTAACCTGAGCCAGGAATGTGCTAACACATGGGTTTTGTTATGAGTTTCCTAAGACCAGAGAAGAACAAAGGTGGAGGATCCAGAATGACTTGAGGCCATACCCCTTGTCTTATAGAGAAAGACACCACTGATGGCAAAAATGAATGCCCTTGAGTGAGATTGTACTGTGTAGAGAGCTTGGGCCTCCAGACCAGGAGATAAATGCCACTCACCTCCTGTCTGCATGGCTGATTAACTGTCCCATGACTAAAATCTCTTCAGAGTACCGAGCCTGTCAATGGCTAACTTGTATTCCTCATAGATTCTTATGCCTCATAAATGCTTCACTACCCAGTTTGACATTAAGAGTTAGCAAATAAAGGGGCTCATCCTACCTGCTCTGGCCTCAGCCTTACTTCACTTAGGGCATGATGCTCACTGCTGCACACAGACTCTTACAGAACTTTGAGTGTATCACAAGAGGAAACCCAAATACTCATTGTATTGGGGAAAATGGTAAAGACATCATTCCTCTCAGCCAAACCCCTTAGGGACACCCTAAGGGATATGCAGCCTATGTATCATAAAAATGCATATACATATTTCCCTCATGAAACGGTAAGAACATTCCTAGATGGTGACCCCAAAGCAATCTCCCAAAGAAAACGATGGCTCAGCCAAGTGGGCCACTATAACCTTCTGTATGCGTAACTTACACTGGTCCTTCCCCTTCACTTTAAAATAAGGTACAGAGCTGCCACTACCAATGAGAACAAAATCAGAACATACACATCTAGAGGGAACAAGGGGTCACAAGCCACCAAGTAGTTCAACAGACTAATCCACAGGCTGTGGGTTACTAGGCTCCTGGGGACAGTGATTCAAGTCTACACACTATTACTCAGGTAATTCTCTTGCCCCCGGCATCAGGTTTCCTGTTTCTGCTACTGACCCTGAGAAATGCAGAGAAATTGAGTGCAATCTGGTAAGTTCAGGGAAGGGAAAAAAAAAAAAAAAAAAACACCACTTTTAGAATCAGGGAGGGTGGATGTGTTTGTGTGCGTGTTGGGGGTCAGGAGGAAGGGTTGCTTTTCTGATTGTCTAACAAACCTGACAGCATTATAGAATTATTTATCACAAGATGTGCCCTAAACGAGGATGCAGTGGCTGAGGCACTGCAAACAGAACCCATTTCTGAGGGATAAACTGCTGAGGGCTAGGTTGAGGCAAGAGGCTCTATCTGCCAGTGTGATCTTTCCTGCCACATCTGGCCAGGAACCTGGAACTGACCACAATGCACTTCCCTGGTTTTAATTCACGAACTTTCTGTTGTTGTTAACTTCAATTTGGAACTAGTTATGGACTCACAAGAAGTGGCAAAAATAGCACCAAGAGTGCCCGTACACCTGCCTCCCAGCACCACCAATGGTGACATCTTATCCATGTCTATAGGACATTATCAGAACCAGAAAATCAACAGTGGTGCAAACACAGCTCATTAAACCACAGACTTACCTGGGCTTCACCATTTTGGGGAGACACTCATTTTCTTTTATTTGGAATATATTTGTATATAATTCTATGACATTTTATTCTATTCATTTTATTCTAGATACATATAACAATCACCACATGCAAGATACAGACTGTTCCACCACCACTAAAGAACTGGTGGGTTTTTTTTTAAATTAAGAAATGTTAAATTAGCATTTGCCATCTACAACATGAGAAGTCCAGGCCTTGTTTGGGCAGGGTCTGCTCTTTGGATTGGCAAAACAAGCACATTTCCAAAGTCCCAAACCCCTTTGTAGCTTACAATGGGCAATAAGATACTATCCAAATTCATTAGTATGACTCATTCAACTGCCTCCATACCAATCAGGAGGAGGCGCTTCAGTATCCTTATTGAACGGCTCCCAAACCTCAATGTCTTAAAACAATCAAGGATTACTACTTGCTCACACTTCATGCCCATCTCAGGTCAGTTAGACCGTGTTCGCCGTGGCTAGCCAGGGTCCCAGGCAGATGGGGCCTCCACCTTCTGTAATATCACTAGCCTTTAGTGTGAAGACGAGAATGTGACACACTGCACATAGGTGGATCTCAAGGCCCCACCCTGCAGTACAGATGTTGCTTCTGATCACATTTTGTTGGCAGAGCAAGTCATGTGGTTATGCTTAGCTTAGGAAGGTACAACCCTCCATGTACTCAAAAATACAAATGGAAATACAAATATAAAATATATATATATATATGAATGGTAATGACTAACACCCAGTAATATATATAATATGAATATATTCATATATATGAATTCATATATATATATATATATATATATATATATATATATATATATAAATGGTAATGACTAACACCCAGTCCATGATTTTGCCCTTTCCAGAGTTATTTCAGGCTACTTCCTATTTTACAAGTTCATTAATTACAGAAAAATTCAGAAAAGACAGATGAATAAGGACAAACAAAAGGCATCTACAATCCCACTAACTCCAAAATAAACTGTTAACCTTCCATATGTCCCTCCCTTCTCCTTTGCCATCTAGATAGACAGATCTATCTACCCATCCATCCATCCATCCATCCACCTACCCACCTTTGTTTAACAGGAAGAACTTCATACCAAGAGCTTTGAATCTTAAAATGCTATAAAATGCCTCTCTCAACCCTTCCCCAAATCCTCACTCTTTTCTCTAATCACACCAGTATACAATCTTCTCATCTCAGGCAGAATAAGAATGTAAATTTATTTTAAATTATGTATACAGATGCTGGTACCCATCATTTTAAGACAGAACTGCACAGGTGGCATCCCACACATGAAGCATCAGGCAACTTCTAAGTAGCTGAGAAGCCCACCTGCTCCCGACACCCCGGGCTCAGCTAGAAAAGCATAGTAATTAAGCAACCCACATGCTCTTCCTCCATTTCCCTGGGATCCGGGGACACTTGCTGGTGACACAATTCACGGACACCCTCAATAGGCCAAGTCTTCTTGGACTTTATTAAGTTCCAAAATCTGCCTGAGTGATTCAAGAGTCTGTAAATGCCAAACCAAAAGGACTGCTCATTATATGAGTTGTTGTCATTAAATGAGTGATCTCTCATATCATTTTATGACTACAAACTAGCCAAGTGTGACTCAGATGTGATACCGCCTGAAACCAAAAGAACCATATGGGGATCATGCGGTATTTAAACGAAGAAGTGGGGAAATGTTGTCATCCACAGCAGAGACAGCAGAGCCAGGCTGACCTGGAAGCCACAGCCCCGTGTG